GTGAAGGCACACCATTGAATTCAAGTCGATTTATGAACTTTGTTGGATACAATAAATCAAGATTTCTAGATTCTTACGATGAGTTACATATAGAATGCGTGCTCATGTATACGTGTTTTTCACTAGGGATTCGTTATAGAATAAACTCATTAATTTTTGCAACAACATAGTTTTTTGGTATAATCATATAGGGGCACGTGTCTATATCCCAAGAATTATTTTCTCGGTCGTAAAGAACAAATGGCCCTTCACTTTCAAGTGACGCCGGTTCCTAATTCGATCATGCTATATAATGGTAATTAACAAAAACCAGGAACAATCTTTTAATACGGTTGGCATCTATTTATTAGAATAACCATTAACACATGGACCGCTTTACGTTGCACTTTAAAAGTTACATCCAAAACTCGGCCTTAAAATAATTACATATAACGATGTCGAAACTAAGGATGAGTATGTAAAAAATATTATATACAAAGATATTTTCTTTTTGTTGCATACGGATATATACCACTTCTCAAAAATAGATTCACCATATTGCTTAGTTATTGTTTCACTCTGTTACAAAGTATTTGCATGATAACAATTCTTTTTTGTACAACATTCTCTAAATAATTCTTTTCCATCACGTACTCTATTTTTTTCCTCCTTTTCCATAAAAAACATCATTTTCAACATTCTTGTATCTCTTTTTTGAAGTCTTAGATAATTTGATGGCAATTAAGGTATATAGTATCAAGATGTATGATTATGTCCTGTTTATACTCGGTTTGCTCTCCACGAGTTTGGATCACCATAAATAACAAGCAACTAACTTCTTTCAATTATCTCTCCATCGATTTTGAGGTACTTTAGACAACCTAAAAAAATTATTGGTGTATCTAAAACTTGGAGCATCTAAAACTTGGAGCATCCGAAACTACTTATTCGGTTAGTGGAAAAGCAATCCCCAAACTATTTGGCCATAACAAATCGGTTACCAAACTTATTATAGATTTCCACTTTCTATAATGCTCCTTTTATTGCTTAATTTTGATGCGAATTTTTTATACTACACTATTGATTTTTTTTATGGGCAAATAGTTTCTTTTAAGTCAATTTATAGATTCTTTAAAGTTTTGATAATCCACTAGCCATTTTTATGCGGTTTTGGTTAAGGCATGGTGATCTATTTTCTTCAACCCACATATTACATGTCTTTGTATCTTAATATTAAAAATTTGAAAACAAAATTATGTGCATTGACCACCTCTTTCGCATGAACACTACCTATAGACAATTTTTGTAATTACGAAGAATTAACACATCTTAAGAGTTATACACATGTTTGCCTCTTTTTTTTTTCAATAGGGGTGCAATCCGAGCTTCGACCGGAGCAAAAGACATTCCTCATTTCTCTTCTCTCATACAAGAGGGTGGCTTTTATGAGATTAAGAATTTTTACACATATGAAAACAAGTCCATCAACATTGTGGTTGATAATTCGTCATAATTGATTTGAAAAGAGATGTTCAAATCAATCCACTTCGCTCTAAGCACCATTCCCGTGCCAAGACACCACTTCTCACTCATTGATTTTGTTAACCTTTTAACCAAGGGCAATGAGTCTCGCATACTAATAGATTAACCATTACAATAGCATCTTTAAATTTTTGAATTTCTCGCTTTTCATAGTTGTTTCGTATAAAAAAATTCATTTGTTTTTTGTTTTCCGATGTTCTTGGTAGAATCAAAGCTATGCAACCTCTTCAAATAATTGTTCTTTATGGAGGTCGCCTTGAGTGCAAACGAGAGATTGTTATTAAAAACATAAGGTGTTTTTTTACAGCCTATACTTTAATTGTTGATGTTATCAAATTTAAAAATTTAGTTTAAATTTGATGCTAAGTTGTCTATTCGGGAACGAAGACCTACGTATCACCCTCGAGGGTGATGTTGCGAGGCATTTCAATGAAGATTCTGTTTAGCTTCTTCATCTCCCCGTGATGGTTGTATTTGTAGGATTCTAAGCAAATGAATTCCTTGTTAAAAAAAACTTTACCTCCAATAAAGGGTCTTAAATTTTTTTCTTTCCCATATATTTTATGATATCATATATTTTATTTATTTATATCAAGTTGTTTTCATAGGCAAAACCAATCCATAAAAGTACAATTGTATTAGTGTGGTACATCAATCTAGATATTCCCGAGATTCTCTTTTACAATCATTAGTAAGTTATAATAGATTCACCGTATATCCACTTTAAGTTTTACCTCTCAAACAACTATTCGATTTGCCTTCTTTCGACTTTATAGCTATCCCATCAAATATTAAAGAGTCTGGTTTTATCGATGGTGTAAGAGATAGCATTGAAGAACAAAAAAATGAGCAATCAAAAAACTATAAAAGAACTCATTTGCATTAATGTTTATGATCATCATGCGAGCACTTCTATACATAACTATTAAGTTTCCTTTTCATATCGAATGTAACATAAAAGATGACAAGATCATTTGTTCCTGTTTCATTTTTTTTTCCTTTCCTATCTAAACAACAATTGAGTTTGATAGCCATTATATCTTCCTAGATAGGGAAAAAAACCATGTTTACTTGGATCAAATGATATTATAAAATTTGCATATCTATAAATAAACTCTCTCTCTCTCTCTCTCTCGGCTAGAATACAAAATTTCAATGTCTCAACAAAGTTCTTTCAAATCTTACAACAACAATTGATTTATGTCATTAGGGAGGGAAAAAAGCATTACAATCTTAGTAATAAGGATCACAACCACTTTTTTATGTGTTTACATTTTTCAACTTCTCTTCCTCTTTCGATAAAAAAATAGATAGAGATGAAAAAGGCTTTAAGAAAATAAAGGGGTGGTTACAAAACCTTCAATTGCAGCTTGGATACAAAATCTTTATTTCCATTTGCTTCGGAAGAATAACATTGTCTTCATTATTAACAATTAGGAATAACTTTCCTCTTTAATTCAAACAAATTTTGCTCCTCGCATTTAATTCATGACCTTAAACAAATTATTTTAGGTCGATAGATTCACATGTCCAGTCTTGATCACGAGACTTTGATCTAGTTTAGGGCTAATAGTATAAAAGTCGTCTAAGATCTAAAAAATGCTATGCAAAGAAGGCAACCGCTCACGCTACCCGACGTATGATTTTATCAATCGGACTCTAGTTATATGGTATGGTTTTCTTTCCCATCTCATTGCTCCATTGATGATTCATTCCAAAAAAAAAAAAAAAAGGATATGACATCAAAAACTTCTTATTACATGATTGTCAAAGTCTCCCTTAAGAACAAACTAGCCTCCTTTTACAAGCTTATTGTCTTTATTACATAAACTCATCATTGCTTTCCATGACATCAAAACCTTGTACCGGATTCATTAGTATCATCGCCCTTAATGATGTTATGTTGTTAGTCATCCTCATTTTCACTATACTACATGCGAGTTCAAATTAGATTGCATTGTGACCGATGAAAATGACACAATAAATTCCATGATGATGGCAAAATATGCTGAGAAGTTCTTTGGTGGATCAAGCACACCATTATGTTGTTGAAAAAAATTCAATGACGAGTCGCCCATGATTGAAAAGCTAATGAAATATCATATTTTTTTTAGTCTACTTTGGTACTTTCAAGTCCAAAAGCATTCGTTGTGATATACTAGTTACTAATATTTTTTAGGATGATTGTGTTAATGGGATTGGTAGCAACCAAATCCATGACGAAACAATAGATGCGATCCTCACAATCAAACCGTTGGAAAATGTAACTTCGATCATAGAACCAACTTAAACATCGCTCACACGCCATCTTCTCACAAAATACCAATAATTTACAGCATCACCCAACCCAATAATTCCTCAAACCTCTAAAAAAAAAAACCCGATGCAAACATTGATATTACATGCCCAAACGTAAAACGCAGGCTAGATTCCATACCCGACTTCACAATTCAAGATGGATATAGGTCCGTATTTTATGCTATTTTTTTATCCAAAATTATATATTAAGAAGTTATCTACATTTTTTTTTCCCTAAACCAATAAGATAACAAAAAGAGACATAGATTGTATTTCTCTTTTCTAATACTTTGATAACATTTTATCTAGATGATTATGTGACATGTATCCTCGATTCTTATGTTCTTAAGCATTCCTTCAACAGCTTTTCTTTTCAATTTGGCCAAGCCCAACTTGGCTCTGTAGATGCAGGAGGTAAATGTGCTCAGCCTCCAATTGTTGGCTCGATAACAACAGCCCAAAAAAATTTGAAAAGAGTGGTTTCGATAGATGAAAAGGTAGGTCCCTCTCTTAAAAACCATGGTTTTATTCATGATAGCAGATTTTTAAACTTTTTCATGCCTCCATTTTAGCCTTGACAAGTCTAAAACTTTGTATTCTTTGCGGACCACCATTTAATGAAATATCACAATTTTTTTAGTCTGCTTCGGTACTTTCAAATCCAAGAGCATTCATTGTGATATACTAGTTGCCAATATTTTTTAGGATGATTGTGTTGATAGGATTGGCAACAGCTCTGTTTTTGAACATTAGAGTCCATGCATGATGGATCCAAAATTGTTAACCCAACAAGCCCAATCAAGTTGTTCAAAAATCCATACGCCATTTATTGATATCTAACAGGCAAAATAATAAGTTCAACTATTGTTACCTCACACACCTTATCAGCTAATAAACCAAGACAAAAATATTCTTCTCTCAAACCATCTTTTAACATAGCTTTGTTATTTTTGTTTCCTTTACCTTTGCAGTACCCACCTTTTCATTGTATTGTCATTTAGCAAGTAAAAAAAGCAGTTGCAACTATCAGATAACATACACAGAAACCACTAAGCTAAGGCTTTCTCATCGGTTTTCCACCATGACCATGCCACAATCAAGATACTCATTTCTTAGAGAATTCAATAAACCCAATCATTGCATGCATGCCAAGTAATACACAGCCCCAACCCTAATACATGTTACTTTCCCATTACAGTAGCTTCATAACATAGCTCTATCCGCAACATCTGTATAAAAACCAAAAGTTCATCATTTAAAACAGAAAAAGAGCACATGCCATTGATTAAATAAAAAATATTTTTTTACTAAATAGCTACTCTTGCAATAGCCATCCTCTTTCTATAAATGCAACCTTTATCTCCACTAAAAACATACTCTTTCTTTCCTCTTTTCACCGAATCTGTTGAAAACCTTATATCTAGAAATTCATTTTCTTTCTTTTATAAACCATGGATGAAGTGCTTTCGAGGAACAAGAATAGAACAACAATTGAACACTTGCTTCAACCACCAATTGACAATCTAGATGTTACTAATTCAAACCAATAGATGATTTATACATAATAGAAAGTGTATACATACAAAATCTAAATAAATAACTATATATGGATGTATATTCATTCACACTTATCATTTTTTATAATGCATGCAACTTAATCATTAACTAGTTAGATGAGTAAAATTTGCCCTGCCCTCCTAATCATGGTCAAGTATCTGCATGGTCCTCAGTTTTATCATGGTAAATTTGCCACCACTAGTTTTGTGCCGTGGAAACCTCCTCTATGTTATCTCTTCACAAGTGCTGAAATGGATTACCATCTTCATTTTCTTCTTCTTTTTTTTTTTTTTTTTTGCCGTGGTGGGGGTCGAGGAGTATTGTTCATCAGGTAAGCATTCATAATTTTTAGCCCTCACACTCAATCACAAATGGCTTGGTTTACCGCCAATGACTACTGCTGAAACATTGGCCAGATAACCAAAAACTTCACTAAGAAACTCATTCAGCAAACTATCTCTTTGCTACAAACCATTGTCACAGCAGCTGATCCAACCGAACAGACTTAATTGTCTATTGTGGCAGTTTTTTAGATACAAGCTCTGTTGCAGCTAAATTCACTATGAATGAAATCAATATCGAAACCCATGGAGTTGCAACCATTGTCGCGATATATATATATATATATATATATTGTTGCTTGCACGCGTCTCCCTTCTTTGCTGCAACAAAACGCACCTTTGCCCTTGCACAATGATTGGTATGCCAAAAAATAATAATAATAATAATAATAACATCAAACAAATTATTTTCCATTCACTCCGTAAAAACACGCGTATCCCTTCTAATTAGTAAAAGGCTTTTAATTAGCCATTACAAATAATTCTATCGTTCCTGGCTGGATCTCATTCCACGCATGCCTCCCTCTCTCCCGATCGATAAAAGAAAAAGGTATACTATCCCTCGCTGCGCAGTTTTTACTTGGGAAGTTGAGAGGAAAATACCTACATCCTGCACACACCAAAAATGAGAATGCTAAAATTCAATCTGTGAATTATTATTATTATTGGTTCAAAACGAACTATATAGTCCATAACTAATGGCAAAACACTTAAATTTTTCCAAAAACAGTTTTTTTTTTTTAAATTATTTTTTATAGCTATATATATATATATATACACACACCAAATTACCAAGCTACACATTTGTATACACAAATTTCTTTCTTTATTTTTGTGTGTTTTTTGGTGAATATGATCGATTTTATTAATTAAGAAAATTGTAGAGGGTAAAATAATTATAATGGGTTTTTTTACGAAACAAAATTTCATCACAAAAAACGCCCATATAATCAAATATTTATTATGTGATAAAAGACACCAAAGACACCATTTGATTGGCCAAATATACATGTCAAAATTTTATTTGATTATTCAATAAATTTTAACTCAATGAATTTTAATGGGTCACTCCTTAGAGACCTTTAGTTCTAACCTCTTATTTCTTTGCAAAAAAAAAAAAAAAAAAAAAAAGAAAGAAAGAAAGAAAAATAAAAATAACAAAGGATAGATTATCAAAGAAATAAAGAACAATATCCTTTGTTACTGTACAAAGAGAAAACGCTTTCCAATTTAATTCTAGATTGATAATCTACCAAAGAAATATCTTTTCGGATCTACCAAAGAAATAAAGAACAATATCTTTTCAGTTTGTTTGCGAGTCATACGCAATTTGCTTAAATAACACAAATAAATAAATAAATTAATTACACATATAGTAGAAAAAATTAAAACCATACTTTATTAAACATTTTATTTTCTGATGCTGGGCTGGCAAATTGCGAAATCCTCAATTGTTCTCTCGAGGGCTGGGCTGCGTCCCTAGTTCAAATCAAACCAAATCTTGGATAAATCAATAAAGCCCAAAGAGAGAATAAACCGATGACGCTATCCACAACAAGTCGCTCACAACCGAACCGAAACTCTATCAAACAAAACCTAAAGACAGACCAATGCATGAGATGGCAGCTAGTTATTGGAGAAACCCATGTACTTGGGTATGGCGTTAGTTTCATCCCGAAGAACCGGAACCGTGCGCAATAACACGGCCATGAACCGACTTGAGTCACTGACTGAACCTCCACGCTTTGCAAATGCAAAACAAAACCCCTAAAACTTAAACCCTGCCCCGCTGCTCGCTCTCTCTCTCTATCTGCTTTTCTTGATTTTGTTTGTTTATAAATCGATTGAAAGAAAAAAAAGAAAAAATAGAAGAAGAAAATGGAGGAAGAAGAGGCGGGACCACCGAAGAGAGAGCTGTACGCACTGCTCCAAGTGTCACCGGAAGCCACCGATGAAGAGATCAGAAAGGCTTATCGACATTGGGCTCAAGTTTATCATCCTGACAAGTGCCAAGACTCTCATGTAATGTTTTATTCTTCCTTTTTTTGAGTCTGGTATCTTTTTAGTTTTGAAGAAATTGTTCTAGTTTCGAAAAATCTCAAGATTTTCTTGTTAAGCAAGTTTAATTCTGTTTAAAATATTGAACGTTCTCTGAGAATCCCTCAATTTATGGATTACTCTTTACAAGATGTGCTTCTCTTGGTTTTCCAAAATAATAAACAATGAGGTGCGATTTACTTGAGAGAAATTTGAAGCTTGGTTTCCTTTCGTTGTTATTCGTGATTTGGTTTTTTTTTTTTTTGAGTTGGTTGAAAATGCCTGTTTTCAGATGAAGCAAATAGCCACAGAGAACTTTCAACGAATATGTGAAGCTTATGAAATATTGTCGGATGAGTATAGAAGGCAAGTATATGACATATATGGGATGGAAGGTATAAATTCTGGTTTGGAGCTTGGTCCGAAGCTGAATAAAGTAGAAGAGTTGAAGGAAGAACTTGAAAGGTTGCGAAAGAGGAAGGAAGAAGAGAAGATGTTAGCGCATTTTCGACCATCGGGCACAATACTCGCCCATTTGTCCTTGCCACAGTTTCTGGATGGTGATGGCATTATCCGAGGGTATACAATCCCCCCCACTTTTTAAATTAAAATTTAACCTTCAGTCGGTTGGAACTTCTGCAATGGTTGGTGAATTGTTGGCTGATATCTCTGCATAACCTTACCAGAAACTTTCGGCATATTTTTCCATGGGACTTAGATCATCTAGAAGCATGTTAGATAAATTGTGAGGATCAATTTGAAAAGCATAATGACAAATTATTTTTATGCAATACTGGACTTGAAAGGTTTTTGTGCTTTCTGACATGCATGCATGCCCAGCAAGCATAGGCAGTATTTTGCTTTTATTATCAAAACGTTGCTTTTACTATCAAAACGATGTTTCATTTTATTTGGATGTTGACGATGGTTAACATATATGCACAATACTGTTAAATTGTCTGTTTCTTGAACTTTACTATTTCCTCTTGTTTCTAAATATGTTATTACACTTCAGATAAGTGCTGTATCTTGTGCCTGCTTTCTTTGTTGACTAATCTTTTGACTTCCTCTTCCAGAATGGCTATGTCTAGCGAAGTTCAATCTCACTTATCTAAACGTACCGGTATTGCTATGGGTGGAAATTTGGAAGTTAATGAAAATTCTGGTGGTGGAGCTGCTTCTACTGTGCTCAGGCACCAGCTTTCTCCAGTTTCATCCATAGAATTCATGGCATCAGCTGGTTTACGAGCACTTATTGGTGTGCAAACAACGCGGTAGGGAATTTGACATTTGACCCTACATGATCACCTGGCACACTTATTGGTTTTGCTATATCCTTTTATTTTATATTTTTATGTGACTTTGTAGTAACCTATCTTTACACTCAACGGCTACAATTGCAATAGCAAAGTCTCTGAGGGATGGTTCAATTAATCTTTCCAATACCTGGACCCGCCAACTCTCTGAAACAGCAAATGGAAATGTAAACTACTTTTGTTCTCTTATAGCTTCCTTTCTTTCTGCTTTGTAGCATTAACATGATTATACGATTGGATATTTATTTCAAGCATTGAACCAAATTGGTCATTGGCTCTGATGTATTTTATCTCAAGATTTTCAATGTAGCTAATTTTATCTATCAGATAGAGGGTTTAACAGTCAAATAAAAGAATGAAACACATTCTAGTGTAATTATGTAGAGACTTGAAATATCAATCACCAATTTGATTTAGTGGAATTATGGATAGGGTCAAAAGGTAAATAAAATAAAAGAGTTACATTTGTATCTCTCTTCTATTCTTATTCTAATATCTTTGGATTGTTGTTTGTTTGGCACTTTCTATTTTTCAGATACAACTTTTATTAGGTCCTGAGTCATCTGTAGCAGTTGGATGGCAAAAGAAGGAGGAAAAAATGTCTGCTTCTGGAGAGCTGAAGGTACATCTAATTGCTTTTTCAAGCAAGTAAGACATTATGCCAAAAATGTCCACAAAACCTTGGGAAATAGTTTTGAGGGAAGAGAAATCAAATCATATCATGGCTACAAGTTAAGTAGGGTTCTGCCTACAATTTCTGAAGTTGCATGCTTTGCCCATTTTTTAAGTGACTAGTCTATTGCTCAACATGGATTAGCCAAATGCTTAATCTTTGTTTTCTGCACTCGAGCTTACCATTCGGTTACAATCAACTGGGAGAATATACTATTAATTATACTTAAGTTTATCTAACTTGGAGTTGCCAATTACCAACTGATTTGCTATGAACTTTTCTTTTGTTATTTCTCATCCTTCTAAACCTCCATTTCTATCAGGTTCAATTTTCTGTCTGTCTTTTTCTATTTCATACTCCATGCATATTACCTTGCTGCTCCTAGATTTAGAAACTTTCATTAAGTTCATGCTCATATCTCTTCCCTTTTTCTTGTTTGTATTTGCTCATTGACTGCAGATTGGCACAAGCTCTTTTGCTGCATCAGCTCATTATACCCACCGCTTTTCTTCAAAATCTCACGGTCGTATTGCTGGCAGATTTGGAAGGTATATATGCTCAAAATCTTTATAAATGAGTTTTCTTTAGTGGTAACTAATATTGTTTGTATGATGCCTGCCTAAGATTTATTAGTTTTTCATGTTCCCATTTGTACTGGTAGATGTATTTAGTGAGTTTTCATTTGTACATGATATAGATCATGAATTTGACTAAGTTTGGCTTTATATATAGAAAATATACGAATCCATGCTTTTCCATATAATTTGGATGAAGCTTGTTGAGTGGGAGCACACATTTGAAAGGGAGAGGAAACTTTCCATCATAGGAGTCATGAGTTACTAACCAAAAAGAAAAAATAGAGAGAGAGATGCTTCTTGTTCAGCACTTGACTGCAGTTTATTAAGAACCACTTCTTATGTGCATGTTCTTTTATAATTATGTTAAGGAGTTTTTTTTCGTGTCACTAATTAGGCATGAATGATGCTGTAGATTAGAAAGTCAAAACCTTTGGGTTATTGTAATATGTGCACTGCTGGGGGAACAGCATAATAGGAGTGGTGCCTGCTTAGTCACTTGTGCATAACTTATGTGATACAAACAGTCAATTTCAGCAATCAGAAGAAATCTAGTGCACTGGATAGCTAGAAGTTGGCAATAATTTGTCATTTTTAAAATTTTGTTTACGTATATATTATGTGTGAATACTTCTTCATAAAATATCTTGGATAAGAGAATTAATTATTGTTGCAGCACTGCTTTGGAGGTTGAAGTTGGCGGGGGAAGGAAACTATCTAATTTCAGCACAGTTCGAATGCTGTATACAATAGGAATTCAGGTATGGGGAAACAAAGAAACCAAATTTAAGAATTGTGCTTTTATGTTATTTTGCTATTTCCGTATGTAACATTCTGATTCTTAGGAAACCAGAATGAACAATAGAAGTAGTTCTGTGGACATGTAAACTAGTATATCATCCAATTATCCCATCAAGTGAGGGTTCCAATGATGGAGAATTTTTAGATGGTCACCCTCAACATTCTTTCACAGAGCAGCTGCTTTCAAAACTCACACCTGCATGTGTGACCTCGGCAGCATGGCTTGTCTTTCTTTCTTTCTTTCTTTAATTATTATTATTTTTTAATGCTTTCTTGGATTCTGCCTGGGGAAACTATAGAAGCCACAGCTTTTCTGCTAATCAAATCTTTATGTAAATTATGTTATATGGATCAATGACTTGCAGGCATTGTAATAGCAGTGTGGATGAATTATTTGCACTAATTTCTGCAATTTAACTTAAACCATGAGTGCAATCACTTTTGGGACCTAGTGCTTAAGCCTGCATAAGTTATAATGGAAAGAGAAGGAGGAATATAAATGTTCTTTGGTAAACGTAAAGGGATCAAATGCATTCATCTTATAATCCTCTCTTACATGCCAATGAATGCACCACCAACTTAAGATCTTTATTTTCTCTTTCTATTGGCAGGGAATCTTTTGGAAATTTGAATTGCACCGAGGAGGACAAAAGTTGATTATTCCTGTAAGCAAATCTTATCCTATCTGTTGTTCATTGTGACAGGTCATGTTTGGTTGACATTGTTCTCTACTAGTTTTTATGTCAAGTGTGATGGATGCGATATTGTGTTTTATGAATTTCACCGAGGAAAAAAGTTGATTATTCCTGTAATCAAGTCTTATCCTTTCTGTTCATTGTGGCAGGTCATGTTTGCTTGACATTGTTTTCAACTAGTTTTTGTGTCAAGTGTGACAGATGTGATAGTGTTTATGAATGCAAATTTTTCCTACTCATAGAATAGTTGAAAAGATATTAAATGAAGAAAAAACTATATTGATTTTTTTCTGCCTTTTAATATAGGGAAAATAAATAAATTAAACCTAACATAGTCCTAAAAATTTTAAATATAGACAAAATATATCAGTGGGACCGTACTTAATCTTTTGGATATATTCCTTTGTTTTTTACACACATTTGGAAAAGCACATCTCTTTACATACTCAATTTCCAGTGACAAACGAATTTGATTACGCACCTCCAAAATTTCAAAATGTCCTTCTAACCAGTAGATGGGTAGCATGCAAATAAAATAGTCTCTGTTGCATATTTCTTAACAAAAAAATGTTTCTTTTTCACATTGTTTTGCACTACTTTGGCAAAGTGTGAAAGGTATCTAATGGATGGAGAAGACCTCTGTTGTAATGTATGTCACCGTAGTATGCTATTATTTACTTGCAAAAATGCAAGTCGAACAATTCCTGATTGCACCTTGGTATTGCTGTGTTTATTGCCTGTCTGCTTCTTGTTTTTCATCATCCTGCTGCTGATGGATTGTCTTGTGCAGATATTGCTTTCCCGGCATTTGGATCCAGTGTTTGCAACTGGAGCATTTGTAATTCCAACATCGCTTTACTTCTTACTCAAGGTTATTACAGATGCCACTCTTTATGTTTCACTTGTGTGCTAAACAAGTAATTATCTTATGCTTCTTTAAGTTCATTTCCATGTTGATAAGATGGAGCGGTTGCAACTTATGAGAATGTCAGCACAAATAATATAATCTTATCTTTTTTCTCAATGTATACAGTATGAACTCAACTGAATGCCAGGTGATTAAAGAGCAAGAGAAATTAGATTAAATCCTGTAGCAGGAAAGGTTCATCGTACTTTTACATTTTAATATCAGACATAAATCTAAACTTTCATAAATCATATATTAGGGGGTTCAGAAAACTGCTTTTCCTTTTTACATTTTAATATCCGTTGTTTTTAATTATCACATATATTTCTGATTATTTAGTTCTTTCTTAGCACAACTTTTTCTTATTGGAATTCTCAGCCTTTTTGGGGTCTACATTTTTGTTGATTCATGTTTAGCAACGGTCATTGATTGCTGCTTACTGCTTATATTAATTTCTGCTGAAGATCCTAGTTATTGCTTTCCATTGTGCTTGGAGTGACAACTGAACTTTGAATGGTTTTCAAGATGGAGTGACAACCGAACTCATCTCTTTCCACAAGTTACTAAATTGTTTGACCATAATGGCCAAAAGAATATTCTGATTACAGAAATGTCATCTGTATATGTCTGCTTAATCATGCATTCTTATGATGTCAGAAATTCGTAGTCAAACCTTATTACCTTCGAAGGGAAAAGCAGAAGACTTTAGAGAATAAAGAGAGAACTTCTGCCCAGGTATGGATGCTAAGGTTGCCTGAGGAAGTTGTGGTTTATGCTTGCTTTTGGCTATGGGAACTTTATAATATGCCGATGTCCAATCTTAATTGTTCCATTTTGACCGTTTTGTGAAAATGCCAGATTCTTGATTGTTTTGGTTTTGATTCACAATTATATTAGTAGTTTAATGGAGAGGAATTTTTTGCCTAATTCTTCTTCTGATGATCGATTCAACCTTTGATAAAAAAGATATGCCTTGGTTATATTTCATCTCATCAACAAATTCATTAATTTTTATTGGCCTCTTTATTGCAAGGACCTTTAGAGGAGGCTCTTAAGATGATATTCAATGGGGATTAGAATGCTTTATTCTCTTGGTTGTCATTTTCTTCTTAGTAGGCTGTCTTCTTCTCATTGTAATTGTATACTACTCCTAATAAAATTTCTTCTTAACATGAAAAGGATTATTTCCCTTATTTTCATAGCTCATGCTGAGTGTCTGCCAATACAGAGCATCTTTAGCATCTGTTCTTTCCTGCAATGTGACATATATTCTGGACCGAAGTTGGTACCTTTACATGTTTCCTTTTCTTTCTTTTTTTGATGGTTTTCTACATGCTTCATTATTTAGCCTTATTTATTGATTTTGAAGAATGTTTGTGGATCATTGTTTAGGTTCGAGAGGCAAGGGCTGCGGCAGAAAAGGCACAGCTATTATTACAAACTGTGGCCAATAGGAAAAGGACAAGGCAATCAGAAACGAATGGACTTGTAATTACTAATGCAGTGTATGGAAGTAGTAAAGCTTTGAAGAAAGCAAATGAATCAAGAGAAGTAAACAATGAATCAGCTTCAGAAGTCATTGATGTTACAATACCTCTTAATTTCTTAATTAATGATTCTGGCCAACTGAAGGTAGATTTCATTTAATCATGTTCTTATCAAATATATATTAGAGTGTGTTCCATCAGTGGATGTGAAAAAATAACTTACATGTGTATGTGTGTGTTATAGAGAGCTAGTTGCATGAACAACAAACTTGATGCTTTAATTCAAACATGAGTGTAGTGGCTAAATGTTGAATTATGTGGTTAGATGCTTGTTCTACCATTTGAGTGCTCATTTGCTGGACTTTTTAATCCACCTTGAGGAAGAATATATGTGCATAAAAAAATGCTGTAAATGAAAGATATTCAGTCTGAAATGTTTGCAACTTTCATCTCTACATCCTGTAATGGTTGAATGCAAGTCTGAAGTATTTTAATGGTCATCCTTGTGTGATGGTACCATGAATTCCATCTATCATGTTTGATTACTTGCTCGGCATAGTCATAATTGCCAAAGGAATATGCGTGCCTTTGTTCTGAACTGGGGGTCCATAATTTTATTTATTGATTGAAATTTTGGTAACTTGACATCCTGGTACAGCTCCTCATGGTGGTTGGAGGGACTGTTGGAACTTCTCTCTCTTCCAAAGCTTAAGTAATTTATTGAAGATATTAGATGTCTGATAAATTCTAAAGGCTTGCTGTATGCTTTCTGGTTGCTTTTGATACTGTAATTTTTGTTAGAGCTTTTATCTCACTTAGCATTCATGACACTTGTAGTCTAGATCCCGTACTTTTGGCACATGTGTTAATTTTGGTGTCGAAAATGCTGGTGCAGCTTCATGAGGGTGTAAAGAAGTCGGGAATTATGGGCTTCTGTGATCCTTGTCCTGGTGAACCTAAGCTGTTGCGTGTGGAATACACTTACGGTGGCCAAAGATATGAGGTACTGCAATTCTCTTTTGCTATTACGGTGAAGGCCCCTTGATGAATGCTAACCTTTTAGCGTGGCCATTTTTTCTTAACAGGTGGAGGTTGATGATTATGCAGTGTTGTTGATACCCCAAGAATCCCATAGAGTCTGAATGCCTCTAACAGTGGTGCATTTTAGAATCGGTTACTTCACACAATTTTGCATCCTTTACATACCTTTTGAAGTATCTTGAAGATGAGTCGTTGGCTGCGTTTTTCACATATACTCCTTACATCATGTTATTTAAGTAACATGTTCAATTAGAGCATTAAAGAGAATTTTTTTTTCCTGGTGTATTTCATTTCTAATGAAAAGCCATTTATATACCTTTTCTTAAGCACTTCCTATCTTTTTCTGTTTCGGTTTTCCATGCAGCAGTTGATTTCAGGATTTTGTTGGCTTCGATTTTATTTATTTTACAAAGCTTTATTTTTGTTGACTAGTCAGTGGCTGTATAGGGAGATTTCCAGATATATTTTTATTTACCATAATAAAACATTATTTTATTAAACAAGCATTGCAACCCAGTACATCATGTGCTCGACTTAAAAAAGAAAGGCATCGTAAACAGACCTGTCCCTGATGAACACTCATCTGCACGTGCAGGTTTCCCAACCATGCCATCTGCCGAGAGCACAACCCTAACATATTCACGTGTTATCCCTATCCTAATCCTTCTGTCCGAGGGTAAACCTGGATTGACTGTAACATCATCTCGGACGAAAATGTTAAAAAGAAAACGTCTTTGCCAAGTTCTCTGTCCTTCGATGGCACCAGCCACATCTGTACTCTCCTTCACTGGAGACGGGGGAAGGTAGGTTTAAGGTTATCGAGGACTTCTGCCCCGGCTTCTGACAAAAGGATGCAATTTTGGTTTCTGACAGTAGTAATTGAGCATCCGCGTAAAAAGCTTGACACAAGATACCCCATTGACACAAGATTAACCTCCGGCTGATGAGTTGCGAAAGCTTCATTTATTGTTGAAAATAATTGGTTTAATCGCATAAAACGTTTCTTTATTGTCCACATTTTCTTAATGCGGCTCCTTTACTGTTTTTTCTTTATTCATTACCTCTCTCTTTATTCATTCTCTCTCTCTGGACTCTTTAATTTTTCTTAATATAACTTATTTTTTGACAAATTTATAATTAGAATTGACAACTAAGATAAAAAAATCTATCTAACATGACAGCTAAGATAATTTTATTTTTTCTCCTCCCTATCCCTCTCTCTTCTATCTCTCGCCTTTTCGCTCTCTCCTCTGTAGTCGTAGTTTCAAAAATTCAAATTCTAAAATTTAAACACTTAGTCACCCTACAAAAATTACTAGTTCTTAGATTTTTTTTTAATCATGGAGAATTCTTTTACATTATTCTTTTATTCAATTATTTTTAGTAAATAATTTTTTTATTTGGAATTTTTCAAGAGTTCATTGATATATATATATATATATATATTCTTTTAACCTATCAAATATAAATGTTCAATCGATTTTTGTAAATTATTGATTCTGATAAAATCATTTTTAGTCGAGTTCTTCATGTTACTCCTAAAATTGAATCGAGTAGATGAGAACACATCTATCTAATAATTAGACATTTACAAAAATGATATCTTTCCATTCTATTGTTTGCAAAATTAAGAGACACATCCGTCGTTAAGGGTAGAGAGCATGCCTCCACTTGCAGTTGGTAGAGAATTGAATAACTAGCGAGCAATGTTATATGATGATAAGCCTACAACCAAATCACTACGATCCAAAACCCTCTCTAAACCTTTATGTTTGTATCAACTTGTCTTCTTCGTTTCTTCATGCCGAAGCGAGGCCGGTATATCCTCATCGTGAAAGTTCAATCAAAATATCAATCCATCATAATAGAATGTTTAGTTTTCAACATGCTCCCCATCCGGGTATTATTGCCAAAAGTCATTATTTCACCCTTTAACACTAAATTAGAAGGTGTGTTCAAAAAATTAAAAAAAAATAAATGAGGTAAAAAAAATTAAATCTTTCTTAGTTCTAGCCCTCAATGAACTAAGGACTTTAAGAAAGATATCATTGCTGCCACTAATGATCAAGTAAAATATAGAAGAGGTGAAAAACAAAACGGATAAAACAAACCTTCGTGACTTCCGAACCGTTAGACTTGGTTCGCTCTTAATGAAACCGTCCTTTTCTACTCACCATATGCTCAAGCTTCAACTTACTAAAAGATTTTTTTTTATTTTTTTATTTTTTTATTTTTTTAAATACGACCTTGTAAGCATACAATTTGTCAATTATCTAGAAACCAAACAAAAGCATTAAATGAAAACAGAGACCACCAATACCTAAATAGATTGAGTCGTTGTTAGCTCTGTAAACATGAATAGGCTTAGTTTGCCTAATTCGGTGACATCTATCCATGGCTTGTAGATCCATTTGAGGGTTCTGAATTTTGGATGTAAAAATCAATGAAGTAGTACAAATTAGGTAACATCTAGAGTTTTAGTATATTAAAGGTGGACGATGGAACACGAGATCAAGAAAATACCCAGTCATTGTTGTACAATATACATGTATTAGCTGAAGTGAGGTTGATACCCAACCCACTAGTTTTTATGCTAAGAAGAAATACCCTACATTGATTGTTCTCATCATTAAATTCGTCAATCCGTTAAACATGAACAATCGGTTTTCAAACTATAACTATTACGCCTTGTAATTTGAAGGAAAATCGAGCGAGATCTATCGACTTGCGTGAGGAGAAAGGAAAATCAAAGGGATTATATATATATATTTTTTTTCAGAATTTGCATGTAAAAAATTTCATCCACATGGAAAATTTTATCCGATGTGTTAAGCTTTGTGGCAATTTTTTACCCGATGTGTCATTCCACGTGATAATTTTTTACCATCCGTCTTCGCCTATCGATTAATCACCGGATTTCGATGAGAGGGGCACATTAAGAAAAATTAAATAGTACGGGAAGGTGATGAATAAGAAAAAAGTAGAGGAGCCACATTAAGAAAATGTCACCAATAGAGGGACGTTTTATGTGATTAAACCAAGAATAATTTATAACCATTAAACATAACGATTCTCAAAAGGAGCAACCTAAAAATTCCCCAAGTAAAGTCAGCAATCTTATTGGCTTGGCTATTGTTTCCAAAGGCCACTTCTTGATACATGACAATCTCCGAGTTAAACGAATTCAAACAAATTAGGGGTTTCTTTCAATTAGGGTTTGAATAAATTAAAAGAGTGATAAATTTTTATTAGTTGTCATGGGTTTTATTAATGTAAAGAGTAGAAAGACTATGGGCTAGAAAGGTATTATTCGCAAACTACTATCATGGGCTTAATGGGTTAATGCCCTTAGAGGTCATTAAATTAATGAATTTTTATGTTTTGTTATGCTTTTGGTATATAGTATAATAGAACATTGAGAAATTATATAATACATAAGGAGTAATTAATGTAAGTTACTTTATAGAGAGATAAATACAAAAAGTAGAGAGAAATAAGAAAGAGAAAAAACATTTTGAGCTAAGGTGGAAATCTTTTTATCACTTTTGATGGGCTCATATATATTTTTTATGTGTCTATCTCTCTCCTTAAAAGTGGACTCATAGAGTAATTATTGTAAAAGTACACTAGTTACTCCTTGAGCATTATAAAATTTCTCCAGAATGGTACAATAGTGCTAGAATGAATGAATTACAATTTATATCTTCCTAATTCTGTCTTTCTTTATTTTCCTCGATTTTTCTCCCCTTTCTAAAGGCTTCATCCTCAAGTAAAGTGGAAATCACCTAATCAACCGGTATCAAAGCTTATCCTTCCTCGGCAATGCTTTTATGGCCAATATGGATGATCCGCACAAGTTGAAAGAATCAATCGAGCAATAGCCCAAGAAACTGCATATAAGTTTGATGAAGTTACTAAGAGTTTAATGGACTATTCTAGAAAATAGGACTTGATTCATAAGTAGTAAGAAGAAGGGTTCACAAAGCTCAAAACCTTACTAAATGCTTTAATGGCATCCTCAACCAATCATCCAAGTATCCGTTGGTACAACTCCTTCTATTTTTGTAAGTATCCTTCCTCTACACCACTCGAATATTAAAATCACACCTATTAATACAAACCTTATTCTACCTACCCCCATGGTTCATCCATTTCCATAAACCTTTACTAATACATAATACAAGCCTTACAATCCTTATTTTGATTCTAACTATTGTTGCAAACCTAAGAAACTAAAGAAAGACTTCCCTTCTTTTGATGGAGAGGATATCAATAAATGGCTTTACAAATGCCGGTAGTTCTTTGAGCTTGAACACATAGATAAGTTTGAAATGATTCAATGTACTTCCTTCTTCTTGAATGGCAGAGTAGGGTTCAAAATGCTTCATTCTTGTTGGATAACGAGCCTTATATTGACACCAAGCTTACACTCAAAGTCTACATAAGAAGTTGTCATAGACTAAGATATTATTGCATTGACAAGTAGATTTGGTGCTAAATTAGATCTGTTAGGTCGGTTAAAAAAATTTACTCTAACTTTTGATTTAGAAAAATATATCTATGAGTTTGATGTTTTGTAGAATAAAGTTATCATTAATGAGCATTAAGGTTTGAATCTATTTTTAGCTGGGTTAAAAAAAGATATTCAAGGTCCCGTATCCATGTTTGAACACAAACCCTAATTATAGCCTATGAACGTACTAGGAAACTAGATAACACCAACACCTATAATAAGAAACACTACCCAAAACCAACAATATCTTACTTCAATAAACCATCACTTATTGACCCAAAATTTACTCTTGCCACGAAACCCATATGAAACCCCATACCCAAAACTACCCATAATTCACCCAACAATCATAGGCCAAACTTTCAACCAAAGACTCTAACTAATAAGGAGTTTGAAGAGAAAAGAGCTAAGAACTAGTGCTTTTAGTATAGTAAAATCTATATCCCTAGACATAGATGCAAACAAAAACTTCTTTTCTCTATCCAAGTAATTGATGAGAATATTAAAGAAATAGACTATGAAGATGACTAAGCAATTATTGAAGAATTTTTAGAGAAACGTTTCCCTCATATCTCTGTGAATGCTTTAGAGAGTTGGATCTGGATTTAAGACCTTAAGTGTTTTAGGTCAAGTGAATAAAAAAATAACGCATATTTTGGTGGACTCGGGATCTACTCATAATTTTCTCAACTTGGAAACATCAAAGGGGAGTCATAGGACTCCAATTAAGGACATAACAATGAAATATGCTAATGATGGTACTATATTATACACTACCATAAGTAAAGGATTCCGATGGGCTATACAAGGTATTAAGCTCTATGCAAATGTGCTACTTGTTGACCTTTACAATAATGATATGGTTTTAAGAGTTTAATAGCTCTATATTAGGAAATATTATTTCTAATTACTAAGAAATATGGATGAAGTTTGAGTGGAAAAGCCAAGAAATTATACTTACTAGTTAGGGAGCGACTAAGATAAAGGCTATATCGAAGTGCATATGAAAAGATTACTAAATAATTTTACCTAAATGGTTCATGTATAACTTTACAATATTACCATACTTGATACTTCTTTATCGAATTATCTTCTCTATCGGTTGATTCCACCAATTAAGATTAGGTTCAACTTTTTATTTCAACTTGTTATTTCAACCTTACCGAATGAGTTTCGCATTTTATTTTTTGAACACGAGTACAATGCCAGTAAGTAGACTACAAGATCACTATATTCCTCTCTTCGATGGGGAACAACTTGTAAGTAAACAGACCATACATATATTCAAGA